CAGTGTCACCATGTAAAGGATATTTCTTCAGGTTGAGGAGCAATGATATGCTAGTGACATATTGACAAACTTGTTTCAGTTAGTGTTAGTTAGTGCTTTATATAATCAATAGAGGCCCAGTGCATTTATACACTCGGGGGGTCCCTCAGCCCGGTCTGTGCCCACTCACAGTCTGGGACCCCTTGGGGGATGTTCACCTGCTAGCTTAGGCCCGCTCCCCAGGAGTTTGGGCCTAAACTGGCAGTCAGACATACCTCTGGGAGCCTGGGAGCCCTTGGGGGATGGCCACTTGCCAGCGGGCAGCAGGCCTAAGCTGCAGTAGGCCATCCTTAGTGCTGCTGAAGAGTCAGGAGAGGCTCCCACCACCACCGCTGTGCTGGTAGCCATCAGCCTGGCTTGTGGCTGAGCAGAGCTCCCCCTGTGGGAGCACACTGACCACCAGGGGGCATCTCCGGCATTGAGCATCTGCCCCCTGGTGGTCAGTGTGTGTCATAGTGACCAGCCATTCCCAGTCCTTCTGCTGTTAGGATCAATTTTCATATTACCCTTTTATTATATAGGATAGAGGCCTGGTGCAAGGGTAGGGGCCGGCTGGTTTGCCCTGAAGGGTGTCCAGGATCAGGGTGGGGGGCCCACTGGGTGTTTGGCCAGCCTGGGTGAGGGACTGAGGGCCGTTTTCAGGCTGGTCAAGCCCCCCAGTGGGGACCCTCACCCCATGGGGGTGTGGCCAGCCTTGGTGAGGGCTGAGGGCTGTTTGCAAGCTGGCCACAGCCCCTTCAGCATGGGGGGGTCCCACTGGGGTGCCTGGCCAGCCTGGTTGAGGGGCTTATGGCTGTTTTCAGGCTGGCCACGGCCGCGGGCTGGAGCAGGTATCTGGGATTTATTTAACTTCTATAATTGAAACCCAGGTCAGGTTGCCCCTGGCAACTGAGGCTCCTAACCCCTCCTTGAGCAGAGGCCATGCCAGCTGGAAGCAGGTATTTGGGATTTATTTATCTTCTATAATTGAAACTTTGTAACCTTGAGTGGAGCTCAGGGCCTGCCAGGGCAGGTGGGTACCTTGGCTTCCTCCATTGCCGGGGGCAACGCAAGCCTCCTGCTAGCTCCAGATCCATGGCCACAGCCATCTTTGTGACAGACTGACGGAGTTAGGAGTGATGGTTAATTTGCATATTACTCTTTTATTAGATAGGATTGTCATCTGGTCTGATTTTTATCTTCCTTCCTTTTGCTGATAACTGCACTCTCTGTTTAGGTGAGGCTATCAAACTGGGCTCCAATGTAAGGAATTGTATACCTGAGAACATGTATTGGAGTTTAATATCAAAACAAATTAATAGTTACTGAATAGTTCCCAAGAAATAAGAATGAATAACATAAGAAAATACATATATATTTATGTGTAGACCATGGACCTAGGAGTTCAAATAAAATTCTAAAGAGTATAACTGTAGATGCACCCCATTTCAATATAGAAAAGGGTATAACAGTTCTACGAAAGAAAGTATTGAGTTAATGGAATTTTCTGGTTGATGAAAAATTACCCTGAAATTGATTTTTGTTTCAATACTTATTGATTAGAAAGCCTTCTATAATACACATTCAGTGCTTCTTCAACCTTAGTAAACAGCATGCAAACATTTTATGGACATTGAAGATTATGCGACAGGTTTGAGGTATTCTGTACACTAAATAACTTCATACTGTGCAGGCATATGGATAGAGTAAAACTTCATGTAGAGGGATTGTAGATGAAGTGGTTATTATTTTGGGTAACTCCTGCCTATTTGCTGCCATTTGAAAAAAAATTTGGTAAGAATCTGGTGTAGACCCTTTAACTCTGCATTTGTCTTGTAAATAATTTTGCTGTGGAATCTGTGCTTCTTTTTATAATTAAGAAAACCCCTCTAAGAATTCCTTCCTTTTGGTGGGCAAACTGGCTTGCGAGCCACATGTGGCTCTTTGGCTCCTCGAGTGTGGCTCTTCCACAAAATACCATGTGCGGGTGCACACCTACAGTGCAATTGAAACTTTGTGGCCCATGCGCAAAAGTCGGTATTTTGTAGAAGAGCCACACTCAAGGGGCCAAAGAGCTGCATGTGGCTCGCGAGCCACAGTTTGCCGAGCCGAAGTTTGCCAATCACTGCTTTAGACTATCAAATTTTATCCCTTCACTGGGTCATTCCTTATACTATACAAACATGCAGGATTTTTTCTCTCATTCTATCTAATAAAAGAGAAACATGGTAATTGGCGTACGACTGCTACCCTTCCCATTGGCTAATCAGGGCAATATGCAAATTAACTGCCAGCCAAGATGGCGGCCGGCAGCCAGGCAGCTGAAACTGAACATGAGGCTTGCTTGCTTCAGTGACGGAGGACTCCAACGTTCCCCGCCTGCCTTGCCGGCCTCTGAGCCTGCAGTTTGAACATTGTAACAAATATAGAAGCTAAACAAAACCCCAGAAACCTGCTTTCAGCAGACGGGGATCTCAGAGCTGGAGTTGATACAGAGTTTCGATTATAGAACCTAAACAAACCAGATACCTATTTTAAGCAGCTGAGGCCTCAGAGCTGGAGCCAAGCCTCAGAGCTAAAGCTGTCCCAGAATAAAAAAAAAAAGAAAAGAAAAAAGGAGCAGTTGGTAGCTTCAGTCTCAGCCTGAAAACAGCCCTCAGCCCCTCACCCAGACTGGCCAGGCACCCCAGTGGGGACCCCCACCCTGAAGGGTGTGTGACCAGCTGCAAACAGCCATCATCCCCTAATCCAGGCTGGCCAGGCACCACAGTGGGGACCCCTACCCTGATCCAGGACACCCTTCAGGGCAGACCAGCCGGCCCCCACCCATGCACCAGGCCTCTATTCTATATAGTAAAAGGGTAATATGCCTCCCAGCACCGGGATAAGCGTGACAGGGGGCAGCGCCCAAACCCCCTGATTGCCCTGCGGCTCTGTGTGTGACAGTGGGCGGGGTCCCAACCTCCCTATCCGCCCTGCTCTGTTTGTGACAGGGGAAGGTGCCCCAACCCCCTGAACAGCCCTGCTCTGTGCCTGATAGGGGGGAGCTCCCCAACCCCCTGATCACCCTGCAGCTCTGTGTGTGACAGGGTGCGGCGCCCCAACCCCCCCACCCCAAGGGCCCTGCTCTGTGTGTGACGGGGTAGAGCCATAACCTCCCCATCGACCCTGCCCTGAGTGTGACAGTGGCGGTGCCCCAACCCCCTGATTGGCCCTGCTCTGTGCATGACAGGGGGTGGCACCGCAACCTCCCCATTGACCCTGCCTATAGTGTGACAGGGGGCGGTGCCCCAACCTCCCAATCGGCCCTACCCTGAGCTTGACTGAGGGTGGCATTGCAGCCTCCCAATCCGTCCTGCTCTGTGCATGACAGGGGGTGGCACCCCAACTCCCCAATCGGCCCCGCTCTGAGCCCGACCAGGGGCTGCACCTAGGGATTAGGCCTGCCCTCTGCTACCCGGGATCAGGCCTAAGCCAGCAGGTCGTTATCTCCTGAGGGGTCCCAGACTGCAAGAGGGCACAAGCCGGGCTGAGGGACCCCCCCCCCCGAGTGCACAAATTTTTGTGCACCGGGCCTCTAGTTTGTAAATAATTTTAAACTAAAGTTCCTGCCAGCTGCCTCTCCATTTCTTTGAAATTTTCCTATGAAACTCCTTCTAATAATGGTGCATATGTGTTACTTTCAATTCCTCTCCTCCTGTACATTGTTATACTTCCCAATTATGCTCTTGTATCCACCAAATCACCCAAACTTAACTTTTCAGATTTTAAGCTCCAGCAAACCAGAGAGTTTAACATGAATGTTACTAAATTCACCAGTAAAGCTCTCAGTCATCTTCTTTTTTTATTATTAAATCTTTATTGTTCAGATTATTACATTAGTTACTCTTTTTCCCCACCATAACTCCCCTCCACCCAGTTCCCACACAGCCCTCCGCCCTCACTCCCCACCCACTGTCCTCATCCATAGGTGCACGATTATTGTCCAATCTCTTCCCTCCCCCCCACACTCCTCCCCCCCCCAATAGTCAGTCCATTCCCTTTCTATGTCCCTGATTCTATTACAATCACCAGTTCATACTGTTCATCAGATTATTGATTCACTTGTTGATAGATGTGTATTTGTTGTTCATAATTTTTATCTTTACCTTTTTCTTCTTCTTCCTCTTCTTAAAGGATACCTTTCAGCATTTCATATAATACTGGTTTGGTGGTGATGAACTCCTTTAGCTTTTTCTTATCTGTGAAGCTCTTTATCTGGCCTTCACTTCTGAATGATAGCTTTGCTGGATAAAGTAGTCTTGGTTGTAGGTTCTTGGTATTCATCACTTTGAATATTTCTTGCCACTCCCTTCTTGCCTGCAAAGTTTCTGTTGAGAAATCAGCTGACAGTCGTATGGGTACTCCCTTGTAGGTAATTGATTTACTTTCTCTTGCTGCTTTTAGGATTCTCTCTTTGTCTTTTGTTCTTGGCATTTTAATTATGATGTGTCTTGGTGTGGTCCTCTTTGGATTTCTTTTGTTTGGGGTTCTCTGCACTTCCTGGACTTGTAAGTCTATTTCTTTGACCAGGTAGGGGAAGTTTTCTGTCATTATTTCTTCAAATAGGTTTTCAATATCTTGCTCTCTCTCTTCTTCTGGCACCCCTATAATTTGTACACTTGAAGCTGTCCCAGAGGCTCCTTACACTATCTTCGTATTTTCAGATTCTTTTTTCATTTTGCTTTTCCGGTTGGGTGTTTTTTGCTTCTTCGCATTTCTAATCTTTGTAAGTCATCTTCTTACTAGATCCCTCATTGGCATTTAACAAATTGATTCATCCCCACTTCTTGGTATATTCTCTTTTTTTTTTTTTTTTTTTTTTTTTTTTTTTTTTTTTTTTTTTGCTAAAAATGAAGATCCTTTTAATTTTTGGACACAGGTTATTCAGAGAAGGGAAAAGTGCTTAAAACACCTTGGAACCAGGTATTTGTATTTCAAATAACTTAATGAAACATACAATCAAATGGCACTTTATCATACATGATACTTGCACACGGAAATAATTTCTTGATGCCTTTAAAATTCCCAATTTCCATGAATACTTCGGTTATTAAGATACTATAAAGTGGCAAGAAAGATTTTTTGAGATCTCAAAGTAAGAACAAGCTGGAGGAAAGTATATATTAAAGGGCTTCACAAATAGAAAGCGTGATTGTTTGAATCTTGATAAAAGTAACTTTTTCCTAGGTCCAAGGCTCAAGTTTGTTTGATTCCTTGCACTGTCCAACATCAACAAGACACCAGTTGTGAATATTCTGTTAAAAAGCCAAGGAGCCCCATCCTGTCAGGAGCCAGTGTTGGCCAGAAGAGGTTTGCGATATTTGCACTGAATCCAAACTCGGTACATTGTCAGCTGTTTCCCTCGGTTCACTTGCAATCGGCGATCCACCAGGTTCTGAACCTTTTCCAGTCCAGCAGTCGTGAAAAGTGTGTCCAGTTCATCTTGTGTGAAGAAGTAAACTCTGGTGCCATCACCTCTCACATAGAAATTTTCAGATAGACACTGACTTGTCTGGAACAATCGCTGAAAGAACAAATATGAGGATGATAATATCAAGACTATCCCTGGGAATCGGGTAACGCTGATCTTCATCACACAAATCATGAACAAAGGCAAAACACCTTGCTGCATCATATGCTGAATTTGTCTTGACCAGTTGTATAGCTGTGGAAGAAAAATCACAACAGTAAACAAAGAGTCTTGGGTCATTGTTGGTTTGTAAAATTGGAAAGACTGTGTTTCCCACACCACAACCAACCTCGAGTATTCGGTAGGTGGCTGAGGATCCAGGAAACTCATCAGCAGAGATTTCCAAGTGACTGAGTTTCTGAGTTACCTTCTTTTCCACAGGAAGAGTCTGTGTTTTATGCCCAAGGCTGTTTGAAGAGCACCTGTGCTGTTCTTCTGTTATTAAACTGGGTCCATCCGCATTGCTCCTACATTCAGGCACTTCGCTCCTCTTATTCTCTGAGAGCAAATCCATCAAGTGATTTTGGTTCTGAATAGGTGCCAGCTCTGGGAATTCAGTGAAAAGCCAATGCCTGTCCTTGAAAAATCCATTTTCATGGATTTTGTAGAAGTCATTCCAATATTTGTGGGCATTAGTCTCATAATCAACTTGCTTCTCGGGGCAAACCCGCTGGGTGCTGTTCTCCTGGACTTTCCTCTGCGCCGCCGCGGCCTGCTCTGCCGACCACTCCACATTGTCCCAGGCATTGTGGTGGAAGACCCGCGCCGGGTCGCTCAGCAAGCGGCTCCCGAACTGCGGCCTCTTCGCGCCGGACTCCGGGCTGGAGTCTGCCATGATACCGGACGGTATATTCTCTTTTCTTGATTTTCAGAATACCACACTTTATTGGTTTTCATCCTACCTCAATTCTCAATCCTTTTAAATATTCTTTTGCTCAATTCTTCTCCTCCCTGAACCTCAATATTAGAATGCATTCTCTGAATGATTTTACCCAGATTCAAGACTCTAAACATTATTTGTAGGTCAAGAGCTGCCAAATATATATCTCCAGTCAAGACCACTCTTCTGAACCCCAGGTGAGTGTATCTAACCACATGCTCTGCATTTCCACTTGGAGGTTTAATAGATAGCTCAACCTTAACATATCCAAAACTGGACTCCTGGTATTCCTACAAAAATCTAGTCTACTTACAGCTTCAAGAGGTGGCAATGCTTTTCTTTTTCTTTCTTTCCTTTTTTGTGTGTATTGTTTTCTCAAACTTTGGTCCTCCCTTTTAAAAATATATATTTTATTGACTTCAGAGAGGAAGGGAGTGGGCGAGAGATAGAAACATCAATGATGCGAGAGAATCATTGATCAGCTGCCTCCTGCACATCACCTACTGGGGACTGAGCCTGCAACCTAGGCATGTGCCCTGCCTGGGAATTGAACCATGACCTCCTGGTTCATAGGTCAACACTCAACAACTGAGCCACAGTGGCTGAGCAATGCTTTCTTTCTGTTGCTAGAGTGACTAAATATCCCAATTTGCTGGAAACAGAGAGTTCTTAGCAAACCAGAATAAGTTAGCCAGTCTAACAGTTGCTCAAACCAAAAACATTAAGGCCATCTTTGATTCATTATCTCACATTGCATATCCAATATATTAGAAAATCCTGTTAGTTCTACCGATAACTATGATGACATTCCTTATTCCCCCATTTTTGTAATATCTTCCCATTTCAGAGTAAAAGCCAAAATCTATACAATGGCATAAAAAAACCTGCATGATCTAACTTCAACTCTTGCTCTATAAGCCCACCCCTCAGTCTATCCTTTACTTTAACTCCTACAATTCTTTCCTGTATCCATTGTGCTCTAACCACATTAATTTTCTTATTGTTCCTCTTCGCTGTGCTACTATCTTAGGATTTTTCCACTGGCTGTTCTTTCTGCTTGAAATACTCCCCAAGTATCTCAATGATTAACTCTTCCACTTGCTTCAAGTTTTGCTCAAATGTCACTCTCTTTATGATGATCATGCTGTTAAAAGTTATACTCTCATCTATTCCAATTTCTCTTCCTGTGCTCTATTTTCCCCATGATGCTTTTAATCTTTTAATGTTTTATGTTTGGTATATTCACTTTTCATGGGTAGTATTCTACCCATACTAAGCAGAAAAGCAGAGAGTTTAAAAAATATTTCTCAACTGGTAAGTACCAAGCAGCTTGAGCAGTGCCTACTACTGGAAGCACTCAATAAATATTTATTACAGAAGATTCCAAAGAGGAATGAGATGTTATCCTAGAATTTCAGAAACTTACCGTCTATTTTGAGAGTTGAGATATGATATATTGTTATGGGGTGATTAAAAATTACAGCATATGGTAGTAGCTATAAGCCTGAGAAGCATAAAAAATTGTGAGCATTTTTTTATTTGAAAAATAATATTTATTATAAGAGTTACCTAGAGACCCTTTCAACATGAAAGTTTTAATATTTTATACATTTACAAATTGGAATGTAAAGGAATTATAGAATACAGGTGTATATATATGGCCAAATTACTAGACTGACCAGTAACAATTGACAGGTTGGGGGAGAACCTGAGAGGCAAAAATATTATAGCATAGTCTACAAACCAAGGAGGAAAAGAACATATGTAATAAATATTTCCAAGGGGAGAAATAGCTTACTCTAAGCTGAAACCTGAGGGGAGAGATCTGAGAGCAACAGGGTATACTGGGCAAAGTTCTCATAGCCTCCAAGGTGATTGTGAGTGCAAGAAAACCCATGTGTGAACCTGGGAAAATAGCAAAGTGCTGGTGAATCTAGGCCTTGAAAATTAGTATTCAGTAACTTCCTCCCCAACCTCCTCTGATTTTCAGCACAGATACTCAGAAAACTGGACAAATCAATTATACATGATGACAGGAGTAGAATGAAATAGAACGAAATTAACTTGGAGAAATAGAGGTCAAAGTATCAGAGAGTGGGAGGCACTAGAAAGGAGAAAACAGTTTCTAAAATGTATCTTAAAAGCAAAATATAATATTTAAAGATGAAAGCACCATTCAGGTAGGTGAGGCCTGTAGAGCTGGTGGGGTATGAATAGGACTGGCGGCCAAATAATTTCCATAATAGACTTAAATCTATACAGATAGACTCCCCCCCCTTTTGATAACAAAGAAAGAGCAAAACTTTAAGGCATATATCTTAGTCCAATTGGGCTGCTATCAGAAACCTTAGACTGGGCAGCTTATTAGGAGCACAAATTGATGTCTCACAGTTTTGTTTTTGTTTTTATGTATTTTTTATTCTTGATAGTATTACAGATGTCTAACATTTTCCCCCATTTTACCCCCTCCTCCCAGCCCTTACCCACCCCCAAGTCTTCACCACCCTATTGCCTATGTCCATGGGCTATGCCAATCTAATCTAATAAAAGAGAAACATGCAAATTGACTGTACCTTCGCTATGCCCCAAGCCATGCCCACCAGCCAATCAGAGCAACTATATGCAAATTAACCCAACCAAGATGGCGGCCGGCAGCCACAGAGCTGGAGCAAGCAGGAGGCTTCGTTGCCCCAGCGATGAAGGAAGCCAAGCTTCAGGCCTTCCCTGGCTGGCTCTGGCCTCCGCTGAAGGCAACAAAGTTTCAATTATAGAAGATAAATAAACCCCAGATACCTGCTTCCAGCCAGCCTCCACTGGGAGCTTGGGTGGCTGGGGGTTGTGGCCAGCCTGCAAACAGCCATCAGCCACTCACCCAGGCTGGACAGGCACCCCAGCGGGGACTCCCACCCTGAAAGGGCTGTGCCCAGCCTTCAAACAGCCATCAGCCCCTCACCCAGGCTGGCCATACACTTATGGGGTGAGGGTCCCCACTGGGGGCCCTTGGCCAGCCTGAAAACAGCCATCAGGCTGGCCAGGCACCCCAGCAGGACCCCCCTCCCTGAATGGGGTGTGGTCAGCCTGACAATGGCCCTCAGCCCCTCACCCAGGCTGGCCAGGCACCTCAGTGGGACCCCTACCCTGATTTGGGACACCCTTCAGGGCAAACCAGCCAGCCCCCACCCATGCACCAGGCCTCTATCCTGTATAATAAAAGGGGAATATGCAAACTGACCCTAACAGCAGAACAACTGGGAATGACTGGTCACTATGACACACACTGACAACTGGGGGGCAGACGCTCAATGCAGGAGCTGCCCTCTGGTGGGGGAGCTCTGCTCAGGCACAAGCCCGACTGATGGCTGCCAGTATAGTGCTGGTGGTGGGAGCCTCTCCTGCCTCCTCAGCAGCACTAAGGATGTCTGACTGCAGCTTAGGCCTACTGCCAGCTGGCAAGTGGACATCCCCCGAGGGCTCCTGGGCTGCCAGAGGGATGTCTGACGGCCAGCTTAGGCCCAATACCCCAGGGAGCAGGCCTAAGCCAGCAGGTGGTTATCCCCCGAGTGGTCCCAGACTGTGAGAGGGCACAGGCGGGGCTGAGGGACCCCCGCCCCAAGTGCACAAATTTTTGTGCACCAGGCCTCTAGTAAGTATATAAGTTCTTTGGTTTATCTCTTCTCATCCCCTCATCTTCACATTGAGGTGTGTTAGTCTGTTCCATGCCTCCATGCTTCATGTCTTATTTTATTGGTCAATACATTTTGTTCATTAGATTCCACAAGTAAGTAAGATCATGTGATATTTGTCTTTCTCATATTGGCATATTTCACTTAGAATAATATTTTCCAGTTCCATCCATGCTGATCCAAAGGGAAAGAGGCCCTTCTTTTTTACAGCTGATAGTATTCCATTGTTTAAATGTCTCACAGCTTTTTTCATCCATTTATCTATTAATGGGCACTTGGACTGTTTTTAAATCTTAGCTATTGTAAACAACACTGCTATGAACATAGGGGTACATATATTCTTTCTGATTAGTATTTTGGGGTATTTAAGATATATTCCCAGAACTGGAATCTCTGGGTCAAATAGGAGTTCCATTTTTAATTTTTCTTTTTAAGGAAACTCCATGTTTTCCATAGTGGCTACACCAATACACCAGGTACAGTCCCACCAACAGTGAACTAGTGTTCCCTTTCCTCCACATCCTCGTCAAAATTGTTGTTTGTTGATTTTTTGATGATAGCCATGTGAGGTGATATCTCATTGTGGTTTTAATTTGCATCTCTTTCATGATTAGTGACTTTGAGCATTTTTCCATATATCTCTTGGCCATTTGTATGTCCTCTTTGGAGGAATGTCTATTCAGGTATTCTACCCATTTTTTAATTGAATTATTGTCTTCTCTTTGTTAATTTGTATGAGTACTCTATATATTTTGGATATTAATCCCTTATTAGATGTATCATTGGCAAATATGTTCTACCATACAGTGGGTTCCCTTTTAATATTGATGGTTTTTATGCTGTGCAGAAGTTTTTTATTTGGATGTAGTCCAGTTTGTTTATTTTCTCCTTTTTTTCCTTTGCCCTAGAGATGTACCAACAAAAATTCTGCTGAGATAACTGAAATTTACTATCTATATTTTCTTCGAATATTTTTATGGTTTTGTGCCTTTCATTAAAGTCTTTTATCCAACTTGAGCAGGTTTAAGTTGGTGGTCTAGTTTCATCTTTTTGCATGTGTCTGTCCAGTTGTCCCAACACCATTCATTGAAGAGACTGTTTTTACTCCACTGGATGTTCTTGCCTCCTTTGTCAAATATTAATTGACCATAAAAGTTTGAGTCAATTTCTGGAGTCTGTTCTGATCCATTGGTCTATATTCTTTTTCTTGTGCCAATACCAGGTTGTTTGGTTATAATGGCTTTGTAATATAGTTTGATATATGGTATTGTG